CTGAGTCATTTCTACCTTCTCCTCTCTGTCAACGCTCTCTGGTTTCATTTAAAAGAGCCCATCCTTCAGGGTGGATATAGCTCGCTAGCAGCCTCGCATCGATGACCTAGTTGATGTCATCATTTACCCAGAATGCTTTGCATGTAAATAAAATGGCCCCATCCGTGTAATACTGTATATTTTTAAACTTTTAGTTTAAAAATGATAAAAACTGAACATCCTACAGTGTTTTTACAGTCTTTATTTTACAGTTAAAGTATATGTTTATCACATAAAGTCTAATATCACAACTGATCGGGGATCCCTTTAAATGAGTGAGGTACTTGACGTGTCMAAACTGGACGCAGAGGGAACCTGACCAAGCGTCAGTAAGTGATGAGCAGGAGGTGAGAACGGGTTGGTGTGTTAACTAAATACTGACGGTTCTTTATGGGCTGAGCAGAGGTGAAGTTAGCAGGTTCTTCTTGTGGCTACATGACATTTTCCTCACACAAAAACATGGCTCTCAGACCTCACACACTGACTGTGAGACACGAGCATTTCATGCAGGTAATGAGCCACACTTTGTATTTTTYACACTGAAACACAGACTTTTTGTAAGAGGAACCATTGTGCAGCGCAATATTTCCCACATGGACTGAAGCACAAAAGGGCTCAGAAAACCCKGTCTGCAGTCAGAGCAGAGAGGAGACCCACTCCACCTCACATCCACACTGCATTTGAAACACGTACGTGCAAAGCTTCAGCTCATTCCACCCTGGATTACAAAGCAAGATGTAAATATATGATATAATTTTTTATGTAATGCTTTTTTCAGACATAGTCGCACTAAAAACTCTCTGCAGTTCCAACAAGGGGTGTAACAATRYATTGATCCACATCAGCTTATCAATTATATCGATGATTCAATCACATTAAGGCACAATGAAAACATTGATTGATATCGTCATCATATGCCTGATGTGGATTGATAATATAATCTTSCATTATGTCAACTGCAGACTTGTGAATTGAATGGAAATGGTATCATGACAGACTTTGTKATATTGAGAAATATCCTCTCATCATCCAAACAAATCCATGATGAAGCTGCTGATTTACACCTCTTGTCCCCAAACTGAATAAAAGTGGAGGATGGRATTTACTCATCGTTTCAAACCCGAGAGTCTTGCACAAAAAACACGWTTTTGATGCAATGATACTGACCTTAGATGTGAGTGTGTAAAGGTRTGTCCAGTTGTTTATCTCTACTGAAAAAAATTAATCAACACATTACATTTTGCAGCTAGCATGTTGTTTGAATGTGTCCATCAGCTCAGACAAGAAAACGAAGGTGGAAATTACAATTCAATGCATCTTCTTCGTTCGACTGGTTCCATTTCAAGGTTTGCCACATAGGCTACTCTTAGTCCTAAATGTAATTTGTGTTTCGTTCTGTTTTTAAAAGCTTGTTCTGAACACGCTGGAATCAGTAATTTATTCATAACTGAACCGTTCTCTCCACGCGGTTGTTGTGACAGCGACTCGGTGGTTTGATGTGTGGTTTGATGCGGGAGCAGTCATGAACYGAGGGTTCAGGCAGAGTCGCAGCCTCAAAACAACCTGGCAGAAGTGAAAAGGTTTTCCGGTGGGAATGAAGCGTGCCGTCAGACTGTCTCCCTTTCCCTTTCAGCTCAGAGTGCCGAGCAATCATCTCTGTAATGGTGCAATGTGTGAGTGACCCTGTTTGACATCCTTACAGTAACAGACAATGCTGCACAGCCTGTGGTGGATGATAATGCATTCAGCCTCCAGCAGAAAGTTCACCTCATGACCAGAAATTTATGACTGTAACACGATACCCCAGAGCATCTGATTGCAATACTACTGCAAATTATCACTTCATTGTTCAACAAACACATATTTTATTCCAATTAAACAAACTTAATGTAGTGTTTGCGTAACAAGGATTGCATCTTTTTTATTCTCTAGAACCTGTTTCATTCATAAGTTCCTGGTGGAACTTTGTTCTCGCAGAGCATGCGCCAACTATCGCGTGATTGGTCAGGACTTTGWGGGCGTGTTTATGCAGAAAAGCAGGTCAACTACACTGCTCACATTCGACTGCTCCAACACATTTGGGCAAAAAAAAAAAAAGCAATAAAACTAGAGAATTTGCATTTCCTGTGAAAAAGCAGTGTGAATGTTTAATGTTAAAAGATTTTTTAAAAAATTAGCTGAAAAAAAAACAGGTTATAAAGTAGCTAAAAACACACACAAAACAGAAGAATTAGCAGAAAGCAGCTGAAGCTGAAGCTTAAATTAGCAGAATAAAGTATAAAAAGTTGCAATTAACAAAAGAGTAGCAGATAATGTCAAAATGATATCTAAAAAGCTAAAATCAGCAAAACAGAAGCTGAAGAAAGCTGAAATTTGCATAAATAAATTGAAAAAACAGAACCAGAACATAAGGTAAAATGTACAATTAAGATTTATGAATGCTTTGAATAGTTTTAAGGATGAAGATTCATTTTCAGTGAGGAATAAAATGGCTGAATAAGCKAAATATCTCAGAAAGTACAAGTAGCTGAAGCACCAAAAGTCCTGCCGTATGTCCTGAAGGAGCTGGATGTTTTGATATATAGTTTGTTGAAATATATAAAAATTACAGAGTGAGTTATGCACTGAAACACTTACAAAAGAAAAAATATCTCAATATTGTGAATTCTTTATAAGCCTTCACATAATAAAGTTTAAGTAGCACATGTTCCTTTTTTTAACAGAAAATGTATTATGAATGTGAAGTGTTTAAATTCAGGAATAAAAGGTCTCACAACCATGTGAGCAAGAACACGTGTCTTGTGTCTTTTTAAAGATGTAGCGAGCTTTAAGCACAGTGGTGGAGTCATCATGCTGTGGGCTCGGGCTCTGAGGAGTTAAAATAAATATAAAAATCTATACAATTCAAAGCAAACATCACACAGTTTATAACATCTGAAAATGAGAAGAAGTTTCAACAATCCTGCCATCTGCCTTCCTGTAGCAAAACCTTTCGATGTTTTATTTTATTTTTTTTCAATCAACCACACAAAGTTCAGCTCAGTGAGACGAAAGKGACATCAAGCCACACATGAAGAGGGTTGGTGTACCTGTAAGGTCCATGGTGATTGGGTCAGGGGCRTCTTCACACAGCAGGATCAGTCTGGTCACCTTGACGTTCGGCCCAGAGAGGTCTGACAGAGACAAAAAGTGGGTTATTTTAAAAAAATGTCTTATAGTTGTTATTTGCTTTTTCCTTTAATTTGGTGAAACCTTTTTAATCGTGCCTCAATCACGTGATGGAGCTGCGAGTTGCTTATCTTAACTCGGCACACAGAAGCAGATTAGGATATGACAGCTGCAATTGGCCTGATTAATTCTAGGCCTATATTTTAAGTGTTAATGTGGAATATATGTATGTATGTTTTTTTTTTTGTTTTTTTTTTGGTACATTGTATGTGTGGGTTTTTCTCTTCTCTTTTCACTGCTGTCTGCGCAACAAATTGCCCCTCGGGGATAATAAAGTTGTACTTGACTTACTTGACTTTACTTGACTTGATAAAATAGTTCTGATTTTTTAAAGTAAGGTTACATTGAAAGGTTAAAAAAGTAATTATGTTACATGTTGWAGATATCTCTTTAAACAGYTTCAKTTYGGAGAAATAAAGTTGAATTGTRATCAAATAACAAGCTAAGACCAAAGTGTATTACCCTCGTAGACTTTGGAAACTCCTGGATTAGAGTGAAACTTAATGGAGGCGGGGACTCTGACTTCAAACTGAGACTCTTCAAGGAACTATCCACTGCAGGTAAGATATCATTGGTTCATATCCTTTCCACAGAACCCCACTTCGAATCTGAACTATCCCTTTAACTTTTTTCTTAGCATTATATTTTAATAAAAGATGAAGATGGAAAAGTTTCATGACTGCAAATTATGCTTCATGATCACTTTTAAATCTGCTGTTCTTGATTGATTATAAGAATAAATTATTTAGTCCACTACGGGTGAAATCACACAAACAYGGTGCAGCTATCTTTGACGTGAAAGCCTTTTTTTTATTCAAATGTGAAACCAAAAGAATTGTTGCTACATCTGACAAGCTGGCATAAATTTACAGCTTCTGTTTGGCAATAAAGTCCTGTGTTTTTCCACTCTCAGATGACTGAATTCAGAGCTGCTGAGCTGCGGAGGACGTGGTGTTGAGTTACAGCGCTGAAGCGGTCAGAGCCGTTTCACTGATATCAGCTGTCATAGGCCCGGCTGCTKCTGGAATAAAGATGCTGAGACGAGCAGATCTGCTTGTGAGAGCTCTGCGCCAAGTCATTATACCGTAGAGWGCGAACAATACCATTAAATGTGCAGACACACTGTGAGCCAAAGCAAACACACAAACCTGCTTGCAGCGCTTCAGGCCCCAGCAGGGTTTGCTTGTACTTCACCAGACTCTCATCATCTTTGTCCAGGTCCTGGATCTCCTGCAGAGACTTCTGAGCCGGAGGATTGTAGTTGAGCTTTCTCTCATTGGYTTCTTCCTCGATGGGTAAATCGTTCTTGTCAGTCAGCAGACCTTCATGAAGAGTAAAATACAATAAGTCTTAAAAAAGGATAATAGCATAAGAAGGAGGCAGAAAGAAACTCAAAGATAAAATTTAAAAATAATGCTTTTTTTTCAATGTATGATAAGTAAAGGGGATAAAGAATAACATGCTTGTGCTAAAAGTAAATCTCCATTTTATAGGTTTTTATAATGTGAATGTTTTACTGATTTTTATTTCATTTTTTTTACAAGCTCAGCAGAGGGGAAAAATATGTTTCCATTCCTGAAGACATTGTTTTAATTCTGTTGATTAATGGCCACCATGACTGAAGTATGTTAGGTGCTATAAACATTCTCAGCTACAGGCAAAAAGGAGAGACTATTTTCCCCCATTTGTCACTGTCACATCATGGAAATTTCTGAATGGGATTAACTCGATCTGCTGACCAAACATCTACAGAGCGATTGTGCTGATTTACATTGAAAATTGACTTTAAATTAACTTTTATTGATAGCTCAGGTCAGTTTTTGCAGGGTTCTGTGAAAAGGGTATGAACAGTTAACATCCTACCTGCTTTAGATAATGTTTTAAAGAGGCAATATCGTGCAAAATCTACTTTTTTGAGTTTTATATCATGTTATAATGTTATACTCTCATAAAAAACATGCCCAAAGCCTTGCTTTGACTCATTCATGCATGTTTGAGAAATCCTGCAGCGTTTTTAGGCAGCCATGCTTAGGAAGAGCAAAATGACAGGTGGGGACCAGAAACACTTTTTGGGACCAGAAACGCCCCTGGGACGTGTCTTTAAGCCAAACTTCCCAAGTAGGGGTCTCTGCGGACGAGTGGGCGTGTCCCAACGAAAGGCGATTCTAAAGCGACACAGCTGATTTGACGGACTTTTTTGAAGGGACACACCTGACTGGACAAGCAAAAAAAAGGGGTGTCACCGCGGCACCACTTTTTCTGGAGACCCCTACTTGGGTCACATTTCTCCTTAACCTTAGTGTTGGGGTCAGGGTCAGGCTGTATAGAGGTCAAGCAGGGTCTAAGGATACCGTCATGTAGGCCTCGTAGCCCACAGTGTTTATGCTTTAGACACGCCCACCCTTGTGACACACCCACTTTGATTCTGCAGATAACCCCTTCTCAAACTTCCACATGGCAGAGCGCCCTCCTTCCCCACTCTGCACACACCCCGCCCATGACTCCTGCAGGCTCTCGGGTGAAAGTGAAACCTAACTGTCTGCTGAGCTCTCAGCATTAGTTCTCACTCAGTGAAGCTCTTTTCAGATGCCAAGTAAACTGCATCATAGCACCACCACCACCCCTCACCGAAATGAGTGAGACAGAAGCGAAGGTGGTTCTTAAAGAGACAGAGGCCAATTTCAAGGCGTTTAGAAGAGAAAGTGATGAGAAGATGAGTTTATTTTCTATTTAAACATAAAAAAGCATTTTAATAACAGCTAAAGTTACATAGAGTTCATATAATGTGATTTAAAATACAAGTTTTCTTAATTATAGTCATTCTTGATAATAAACAATAATTTATTTTAATGGTTTTATTATTTTATTATTTAAAACACAATTTTCACATATTTTGTATGGTTGTGTCCCCTGTTTTTTTTTTCTTAATTAGCTTGACTTGTAAATGAGGATGCTGCATCAACGTAATTCTGAGTTTAAAATGAATAAATAAATTAGTCTGATATCTTGTATTCTTTATGAAGTGGTGATTTGAAATTCACTACTTTTCTAGATTTACCAGACACATTAGGTTTGTTTGCGCAAAATATCATCATTGGATCAGTATAGTTGATCTCAGTCTGAATTTTACTCTGTATCAGTGTCGGAAAGACTCAAAGATCACTAGTCATTTTGAATCAAATCATGTCTGTGAGTGGTCTTTTTTTGTTTATTAGGTGGTAAAAAAATGTCTTAAGAAATGACATAAAATGACACAAAAAGAGTTTTCAGCTCAAGTTTTTGAACATTATAAGGAAAACAATAAATGTGAGCTTAAAGGTGCTTTCTAGACTGAATATCATACAACAGACCCGTTTGATAATCTGGAACAAATTTTACGCATCATAAAAAAAATTCTTTTATCTTTCCTAAAGACAAGTGATTTATCCCATTTGGAATGGAAAGAAATGGATTCAAGTCCTCACAGTTCATGCCAAAACCTCTTAAAGGTTTACATTTATCAAGTCCCTTAAAGGTCAGCAGAGGTTTGTTTTCAGACCCTTTGAAATAAAATCCATTTTTTCCAACAGTGAAGCCCACCAGCAGGAAACAGCTCTGGTGTATTAGTGACTAAACTGCTCCAGCAGCACAGGAGCGTTTGCTCAGTGTCTGTGTCAGGAGGCAGATTACTTTATGTAGAGCAGCTCCTGTTGTCTGGCTTGGATTTCATCAGGGGTATAGATTTGATATTGAACTTTGCAGACATCGATAATGGGCTCTGCAAGCTCAAATTTAATTTTGGCTTTGAATCTGCACCTCCAGAGAGGGCGGATGGAGGGTTCTGATCAGATTCACTTTGTCACGACAACACAGCCAGTCACAATTTATATTCTGTAAATGTGTAAGTCAGCTGACATAACAACTGTTTTAAATTGTATTAAATAAATGTTATGCCAAATATTCAGAGAATGTGTTGGTAATTACTCTCAGCTACAACCAACTGAAAATTTATCGCCAAAATCTGTACATTTGACTGAGTTACAGACACTTTTGTGTTGGCTAATTTTGGTTAGCTGTGGCAGCCATCTTGAATTGTACAGACTCTTAAAGTTAATCAGTTGTAGACATACTTTTGATGATTACTTGTTAGGAGTTTCAATAAAATTTGCTTAATTATTCATGATATATGTTGCTAACAGACAGACACAGTTTACTTCAGCTGGTTAATGGCAAATTTTCAAACCAAGATCTTTTCAATCTGTTGGCGGTCCGATCGTTTGTTGGGGTTTTGTCTCATCTACTACCACACCAAATATTTGGTATCTTCAAAATTAACAAAGTTACAGTTATTTTTTATGATTTGTAGTTCAGCTAGTTTTGACACTTTTCTTAAATCAGGTCGGCTCCAAATGTTAAAGAGTTTCAGATATGCATCCAGTGATTAATTTCTATAAATTTCATTATAATCTGTCCAGTGGTTCATGAGATATTTTGCTAACAGACAGACACATGCCAAACTTTTAGCACCTTCACTGTCAGTGGCAGACTGAGGGYGAAGGTGAGATGAATGAGATGACGTCGCCTCAAAGCTGTGCGTGTGCGGAGTTTATAGAAAACACACAAATGAATCCTTCCATGAACTGTCTGAGCKCGTCCGTCCACTACCTGAAGGCAGCAAACCGGTTGGGACCGCCTTCGCCCATCACCATGGCAACCCCTTTAAGTCTCCTCGCTGTTCCATCACCTCTCACCTTTTGCTGTGTTCTCATTTTGGAGAGATGGGATATTTAGCAAGAAAGTGAATCGGCAAAGGCTGTTTGTGCTTGTTAACGACCGCAGTTAACAGTAATGCAAAATAAGAGACAGTGAAGAGGTTTAAATCACGTCAAACTCAAGGCTCGCAGGCCAAATGTGTCCAGCCATGACATTTTATGTGGCCCGCGAGAGATTCAAAGATGTATTAATGTCTTTAAAAAAAGCTGCTTTAAAGCCAGCATTGACCATTAACTACATCTCCCATAATGCACATTAGTTATATTACCTGCAAAATGACAGCATTGGGTGGCAATGCTCACACTGTAAAATCTTCATTTTGCTGAAATTTCACTGGCTGCCTTTGCTGTAGTTTAGTTTTACCAGGAAGCGGGAATTTCCAACTTACAAGTGGGAAGTTAAAATTTACAAGTTGCAAATTCAAACTGGAACACCCTTCCATTGGGAATTCCCCATCAGAAAGTGGGAGAGTTCATTTTTCAAGACAGCAGCTACTCAACAATAAGTAAAACATTCTTTCTTTTTTTAATATAATTTTGTATTATTTATTTCACATTTAGTCAGTCGTACATGTAGTACTTTTCAGTGTTCATAAGTGTTTCTATGCAGGAAATAAAACGTAGAGCTTAGTTAATGTCTGTCAGCAGTGCTCAACCAATGAGATGAGGAACATGACTTGTGTTTGGTCAAAGTTAAACATGAAGTGCTGGAGGTAATCACAACCGGCCCTCTGC